CCAGGGTCCTGGGATCGAACCCCGCATCGGGCTCCCTGCTCGGCGGGAAACCTGCTTTTCCCTCTCCCACTCCCCCTGCTTGTGTTCCCTATCTTGCTGTGTCTCTATCTGTCAAATAAGTAAATAAAATCTTAAAATAAAATAAAATAAAATTCTGAGTTTCCATACTCCGTGTGGTATTAGTTATCAACCCACATAAACAAAATCTCTTTGGGGCTCCTCCACAATTTTTGACAGTGTGAAGGGGTCCTGAGACCAAAAAGTTTGAGAACTGCTGTTAGACTTAACAATCATCCGGTAAGATCAGTGCAAAAAAAAAAGAAAAAGGAGGCAAAGGAATTTATCTATCGTTCCCAGGGCTCCCATTTTGGATGCCGTGAACAAGCTTTCAGTGGTTACATGATGGAGATCGTCGGCCCCGTTCCCACTCACGAACGGCAACTGATGGTTTTAGAGATTTCTGGGAGTTATGACACTGGCACCAAAAAAGCTGTGTCTGGCTAGCGGCAGAGCTGAATGGCAACCGAGTGCCTACTGTCCTCCTTGTACCGAATGCTCACTTACTTTGGGGGGCAGAAGGCCTCAGAAAACCCACCGGCGGCAGGCAGCCGGCTAGGACTGTGCAATCCGTCGCTGAGAGGTGACCAACCCAAATCCTCTCCTTGACAGAATGCAACCCGAGGCCCAGAGGACAGAAGGGGATTTGGGGAGCTGCCCACAGAGCTAGAACCAGGCTCCTGACTCGGGGCTCACTGTTCACCCACCCTGACAGTTGCCCCCAGAAGACTTGCGTCCTCCCCGGGCCTCCTTCCCCTCCTGATGGGCCACAGGCGGGAAGCGCAGAGAAAGAGGGAGAAGGCCCGCACCGGCAGGGAGGGGGTCCAGATGCAGGCTGAAGGCCACTGCCCTGCTCCAGCCTTCCACTGCCCTGGGAGTGACAGCCTCTCGTTCATAGACCCGGTTTTTTAAGAGACACTAGAGATGTGAATTTTGAGTACAGTTGCCTGATCTTAAACACTTCATTTAAAATGCAGCTCGGCTGGGGCACCTGGCTGGCTCAGTGGGTGGAGCACACAACTCTCGATCTTGGCCCCACGATGGGTGTGGAGCCTACTTAAAAAAAAATAAGTATCAAAATAAAATGAAGTGCAGCTCTCTGGTTCTTGTTTTCTGGACTCAGGAATCCTCTCTTCTCTGGGGACCTTTAAACGTACGGTGTACTTGAACACATCTAACTGTCCCAAAGGTGAGTTAATATGGTTTAAAAAAAAAAAAAGCAAACCCACAAATTAAGAATTCTTAGCTGAAGGAGACGCGTGTGTGAGGAAGGCAGGGCCTCTGCAGGAAGCGGCGAAGGGGAACTGTGACCCGATGTGCTGGTGGCAGATCCTGCTCGGTGCGGCCTGCCGGGCAGTCCTCTGGCCCCAGGAACACTACCACTTGGCAGGGCAGCCTGCTCCCCGGCTGGGTCGTCAGACCGCAGACACGGCGGGCCCCTGGCGAGCCGCTCGGCCTGCCCGCTGAGCACGCTGCCCAGGAAGCTGCAGGGAAAGGTCATTGGCTGTGCGCACAGAGACCACAAGTTCACGGTAACGGAGGACGCGATCTGTCACGACGGCTTTGTCTCCCGTGAAAAGCGGGCTCCCTGAGGTCAGTCTCCTCGTTACAAATGGAAGCTGACCGGCCCAGCAGGCTTCCAGCAGGGGAAGCAGCGGCGGTCTCGGTCCTAATGGGGAAGCGGGCTTCACGAACTGAATTCGCGGCATTCGATGCGGAGGTGAATGAAACACACGTCCAACTCGGTTCCAGGCCCGAACATGCAGGGATTTACACGAGGATGCAAAGTTTCCCTGAGGCAGGGCGCTACTCTGTGGAGGGGTTTGTTAGCTTTCCGGGTTTCTTTTCCACCATCGCGGATGCCCTCAAGCTGCAGCTATGAAAAATTCCCACAACGAAACTCGCCTGGTTTCTGGTCTTTCGCGGGAAGCACTCTGTGAAGTGCTTCTGACTCCATGCTCTCGTCTGCCCACCTAATCCCACCTGGGAGTGGACAGACTTCTCATTTTCACCCAGAGCCTCCGCTGTTTTCATTCCCCCTTGCGGAGGGGCAGCCTGTGCAAACGACCCCTGCCCGGGGGGCACCGGACACCACTGGGCCTGGCGCGCTTTAATGAAGGGGCTGCTACCAGCGACCCGGGTGGGGCTGGATGAGACATGCGCCCTTTCAAAAACGACTTCTTCAGGCTCCCCACTGGCACGGTAGATGAATTCTCAAAGGTCACAGTGTCTGAGAGAATTATTCAGGTTTTACTGTTCTTAATTTACAGTCTGAACATGACAGTGTTGTAACATGGGCCTCTTATTTTGCCAAAGGCATAAATGTGAGACTGTAAACAATGAAACAGTTCAGAGGAGAAAGCGTATTTCCCCATGTTCCCAACTAATCAGAAAGGTAAAATGTGCTGCTTCTTACAAATTATCTGCAAAATCCCCGTAGTTGACACAGGCAATGGGGTCAAGACAGTCCCTGGAGGGGCCGAGAGCTTGGCCCCAGGATGACAGGGGGCCTTGGTCTCAAGCTGCTCCCAAACCCAAGCTCACTTGGCAAAGACCTAAACAACAAGTTACAGGGAGGACTACAAGTGACAGGAACTCAGGCCCAGCTAGGAGAGGGAAAAATTCAGTAGTAAAATGCTACTGGGCACCATCTGCAGCCCTGGACATTCCTACAGGAAGAGTTTGAAGGAGGTTTATTTTTATTTTTATATTTTTAAAAGATTTTACTTATTCATTCGAGACACAGAGATACAGAGAGAGAGAGAGAGCACGAGCAGGGGGAGAGGCAGAGGGAGAAGCAGGCTCCCTGCTGAGCCAGGAGCCAGACGTGGGGCTCGATCCCAGGACCCTGGGATCATGACCCGAGCCGAGGGCAGATGCTTAACCATCTGAGCCACCCAGGCACCCCTCGAAGGAGGTTTAACTTAACAAAAAAAATTTTTTTCACGTGACTAATTAAGTATATCCTGAAAATATTACTTTTGAGAGATACGAGGTTATGTGCAGGAGAGTAACAGCCCCCCTAAGATGTCTGTGTTCTAATTCCTGGAACCTGTGACCATCACATAACATGACAAGGGGGAATTAAGGTCACAGACAGACCCGAGGTTGCTGATCTTAAAATAAGAGTAGCGGGGCTGTCCAGGAGCGCCCAATGTACTCACGAGGGTCTGAGAAAGCACCGGGGAGGCAAGAACCAGAGAGAGAGACGGGCAAATGCTCTGCAGCTGGCTTGGAAAATACAGGATGGGACTGTGAGCCAGGGAACGCAGGCGCCCCTAGAAGCCGTAAGGCCAGGAAACAGATTCTCCCCTGGAGCCTCCAGAAGGAACACAGTGGTGCTGACACTGATTTCGGTGAGGCCCATCAGGACTTCTGACCTCCAGGCCACAAGATGGTTGTTTTGTGTTGTTCTAAGCTCTAGGTTTGTGGTAATTTGTTAGAGTAGCTTCAGGCAGCTGGTATACTCGTCTCATTAATGCTATTACCTCTAAAGAACACATTTTTCCTCTCTGCCTCAGTGTCCCCAATGTGCCACATGTTCCTTCCACGCCACCCACGTGCATTTAAAGGGCTCCAACCCCCGGAACTGTGGCTGTGGCACCCACCAGCGGGGTCCCCCTGCGGCATCGCCAGAGACTGCGCCCTCCACCAGCGCCCGGGCCTCCCCTGGGGCTCTGCCGAGTACTTCCGGTGCACGGGAACCAGACGCAGAGGCTCCAGGAGCCTGGGAGGAAAAGCAATCAGGGCACCGTGTGATGGGACCTTCCGGTTCGCCGGTCCACATGGAAGAACATGGGGCACCTTTAAACGTCCCGCCCCTTCCACACGGTCCTCTGGAAAAGCCAGCGTCGTACACAGAGCAGGGGGAAAGCAAATCATATCCACGATGCCTCTGAGTATTTGTCTTTAAAATTTATTGACATGGTTTCCCACGAGGACTGCACAGAACGGCGCGTTTACTCGGCAAGAAGGTGCATGGCCCCGAGTCCCAGGGCTCCTCCTGCAGGCTCTGGAGCACGTGTGTCAGCTACAGGAACCTGATCCCGGCTCCAAACTGGACACCATCACAAGTCCTAAAAAAGTAAAGGGCAGACAGTCAATGCTCACTCCCTGTCATCACAAGACCATACCCAGCACCTCTCTTCCTGTCTCCAGCACAAGCCATGGGGGGGGGAACAACTCGGCCACTCTGGGGGGGCGCCCCGCCTCCACCCTCCTCTCCTGCCACGGCTCCGCCCGAGCCCTGCGCCTTCCTCCCTTGCTGGCTTAAGAACCAGCCTTGGGAGGATAAAAACACGGTAACAGGGGCGCCTGGATGGCTCAGTCGTTAAGAGTCTGCCTTCGGCTCAGGTCATGATCCCAGGGTCCTGGGATCGAGCCCCGCATCGGGCTCCCTGCTCAGCGGGAAGCCTGCTTCTCCCTCTCCCACTCCCCCTACTTGTGTTCCCTCTCTTGCTGTGTTTCTCTGTCAAATAAATAAAATCTTAAAAAAAAAAAAAAACCACAGTAACACGTGGGGACACAGATCCCCCTTTACTGCTCCCTCCCCACCTCCTTTGCGGTCATCCAATTCTGTCCTAAGTAGCAAAATGAAAAGAAGGACCCAGGGGAGAAATGTTATGAACAATAAAACCCCTGAGGGGGAAAAAACAGCTTTGTGTGTATTTCTAAGGCTACCAGGCAAGGCTTTCTGTGCAGAGCAGAGCAGTGACAAGAGAGGTATCCTGGCTGGAAGCAACGGAGGTGGCTGTGGAAGGCACCTGGCAAAGCACAGCATGCAGTGGGGTTGGGGAGGACAGGTAGGCACAGAGAGCAGGGGGGATGGGAGGTAGAGACGGAAGGACAGAGGAGGAGGGAGCAGGGAGGACAGAGGAAGCAGGGAGGACGGAGGAGGAAGCAGGGAGGATGGAGGAGGGAGCAGGGAGGAGGAAGGAGGCAGAGCAGGGAGGGTGCAGAGGGCGGGAAGACGGAGCAGGAGAAGTGAGGAGGATGGAAAGGGAGCAGGGAGGGCGGCAGAACTTGGGCCAGCCCAGGCCCTGGAAGGGCTCCAGGGGCTTATGACCACAGCAGCATCCGCAGCCCAACAGGGTCCCCCTGCCACTTCTCAGAACCTGCTCCTGACCCAGGAAAAGGAAGGCTGCAAAGAAGTCACACTGCTTACAGTACTGGTGACGAGCTGACCCTCTACAGGTTTTATTCTGTGGGTTGTCCTCCTCGAGCTGCTGGCAGACCACGGAGCCCATGTTCAGACAAGCAAGTAGGATGAGTGGCAAGGCTCCAGTCCCAGCAGGAGGAGAGCGGGCCCCTCGGCCCGGACACCAGAGCACCTACAGGCTCCTGTCCCCACGAAGGCTTAGGCCACAGCCTGGCCACCCCCAAAATTAGAGTCCCTGGGCCACAGCCAGCACCTGTCCTGCTGACTCCACAGTGGAGGCGGAGGGCAGACTCCCACGCTGGCCCGCGCAACTCTGCCCACCCGGAGGCTGTGCCCAGGGCCGGACGGCTGCTAGACGTGGGACAGAGGGGCTTGGCCCGGGGACCTCAACGCCAGGAGGCCTAAGCCTCACGGAAAAATGGCATCCTGAATCCCAAACAGCAGCTGACAGTGCATTTGCGGAACAGAGCATCTTCGCAAGTTGTGGACAATTTCCAGAAAAAATTGGACAACAAGAATGGCTCCTTCAGGGGTGCCTGGCAGGCTCAGTCAGCGGAGCACACGATCTTGATCTTGGGGTTGTGAGTTCAAGCCCCACACTGGGTGTAGAGATTAAAAGTTTAAAAAAAAGAAAGAAAGAATTGCTCCTACATTCAGAGGAAAGTTGATGATTTTATTGTCCTAACACCCATGCTCTTGCCCAATCTCAGGGTTTATAGCGATATGAAAACCAGCAGGAAATTGTTCTTTTCCAACCTATGAGTGAGGGAACAAAACCCCTGATCTATTAAGAGATTCGAGGCAGACCACTGTCCCCATCGCTAGGACCCCCTGCAGGACTGCGGTGCTCACTGGCCAATGGCATTAGCAGGAATGCCCTAGCCAGAAGGGACGGTGGCAGGCCCTTGGGGACCGACGGTAAAGCACGCCAATGTCCTTAGAAAGGCAAAGACCTACAACCAAAGCCAGGGCTGCATTTGTACAAGTTCTGTTCAAATCGAAATGATCTGCTTCTTCCCTTTCCACCATCGGGTCCATAACAGGGGTCCACGCCTGCACTCACTCCTGAGAACAAGGCCTGAAAATAAGCCACGGGACAAAATGTCAGTCAGGCCCTGGCTTCTGTGATTCAGGAACAAGCAGGCATTCCGACAAAGGCTCACTGGCTCAAACCCTGAGTAGACGAACCGCACCACGTGCACAGGATGGGGTTCAGAGACCTCAGGATCACAGGGAGGAGAAGGCGCCCACTACTATACAACAGCATCTCACAGGGACACGAGGCCCATGCCACTGAGGCAGCGTCACCAAAACATCTATCCTTCTGTCGTGTGGCCACCCCAGAATCAGCTCGTCCGGGTCTCCCTGGGATCCCCCGCCCCGAGCAGGCCTGGCTGTGTGCACCCTAGAGGCCCCTGCCAGCACTCCACTGCTTCCCACTCAGCACCATGAGGGCCACCATGGGGGTTTCGATGAGGGTCACACCGGCACCCTCCCTCTACTAAGCCCTCAGACCCTGAGCACCGTCCCCCCGCAGTCACACGGGGACAGCAGGTGCCGGCCGGGGAACGCAGCCATGGATAAGGCAGACAAGGACCAGAACTCAAAGACCTTGGCGTGTGCCCAAAGTGAAAAGGCCGGAGAGGAGAGTGGCCGGAACCGAGTGCCTCCCCGAACCTCCCTTCTCCTACAGAATAACAGTCCATGTGCCCCTGGCATTCTGGGCTTGGGCACCTGAGCTTGGCTGCCCTGCGGCCTGGAGTGCCCTGGAGTGCCCTCTCCTGCAAGACCCCAGCCCTCCAAGTCAGGAAGCTCCAGCCCAGAAGCCACCTCCCCCAGGAAGCCCTCGCACGCCCTCCCAAGATGAGCCTCTTTCTCATCTCCCCCTTCCTAGAGATGAGCGGCTCTCAGGAGCCCGCCTCCTTCATCCCTGCGTGTCCAGGGGCCGCCCTTAGTGAGCCCGGAGCGACAGAACACTGTTAGGTCTCAGACAACAGTGCCTGCCGTAAATCACCTCCAGTACGAAATTTAGCCAACATTTCAAAGCTACTTCTGTTTGTGTAAAGGTCTGAAATCCTAATTAGAGAGCGTTTGCTTTAAGAGTGGGGGGAAGTCTACAGCTGATTCACACACACATAATCCTCTGTCCTGCTACTGCCTAATTTCAGAAATGAAGATCAAATTCTCACAGCATCACCCAAACTTCACAGAATTCCCAGTTTGATGATGAAGCTTCAAACAAAGCCGCACACAGAGTAAAAGCAAGTTTCACATTCGAGGGTAACCAGGCTGGCCCTGCGCAGGGGACGCTGGGCACAAAAAGCGCGTGCTGTAAGCAGCACGACAAGGGTCACAGAGCAGAGCCGCTGCCTGACTGGAGGAGCAGAGGAGCTTCCTTATGTTCTGGTCTTTAAATATCATGTGCACAGCATGCTTCCTCCTTCTAGAAGAAACCACATTTGAAATTCATCTCGAAACAGATTTTTCCAATTTAGAGAGAGGCAAAGCTGAAAGGTGAACGGAAGCAAGCATTCTCTGTAAAGATTCTATGAATAGGGGAAAAGACGCGGGGCTCCCGAGCGGGTGAGGGATCCTCGGAGCACAGCGACATCCAGTGGCCTCGAGCAACACTGCAACCATGGTGAGGACAGCCGGCAGGCTGAGCTGAAGGACAGGAGGCCCACAGCCCCAGGGACTTGCCCCAAGTCATGTGGGGGGAGGGGACACAGGGCAGGGCTGGCCCCGGGGGGTTGCGCTCTCGAACCAGCTGAGGGGGAGGGCAGTAGTTCTCGGTGGGTGACGGTCACTCGGTGACACAGACAATACAGCTAAAAAGCCACATTCACTTCCGGTTTTCTTTGTAATAAAAAATATTTAGAATGTATTTACTTACATAATTTGCACTAATATTAACAGAGTTAATCCAAACTGATCGATCATCATGGCAAGAACCTATACAATCTCTGAGATCGGAAGGTGCATATACAATTCAAGTTTGAATAAGACCTTCCAAGAAGATGAGCGAGGAGATGATTTTTATCTTTCTGCAGTTAATACTCGAGGTGCAGAGACAGCAGCGTGGGGAGGAAAGGAGCACCGCGTCTCACGTCTGGGCCCTCAGAAGAGTGAGGAGCTGGTGTCGATGCTCTGTGCTTACGTGGTTTTGGTGCAGAGGGAAAGGCGCCAGCGTTGGCCTCAGGCAGGCCTGGTCCTGCTGCTGAGCTGACCTCAGACCCTGCCGAGGCTGCTGTCCTTGTCTGTGAAAGGGGTAACAGCCTCCCCTGCACAGAGCTGCTGGGAGGCTTCCATAATCACATCAAGCGCTTAGCCGGGCGTCTCACACAAGGTAAGCGTTCAATAAACGCCAATGATCGCCTTCCCTCCACAAAACGTTATAACTGTTCTCAGAAGAGACACAGAGTTGGTCTCCCTCAGAGCGTGATTGGTCCACAAGCATCAGCCTCACCAAGGGAGGGCGTCAGGAATGTGGCGTCCCAGGGCCACCCCACACCCGGGAGTGTCTGCCTTTACCAGAGTCCCCAGTGGAGTCAGAGGCACATGACAATTTGAGAAGCGCAGGCTCAGGGGGCTTCAGCACCCACATCTGACTTCATCCTGGTGTTGGTGTGGGCTCGGCACCTGCCCCTCCGGTGCTCCCAATTAGCACCTGGGCGTTAAGCCAGGGAGACCCACATTCTCACCTGCGGTGGGAACACGGCTTTGCAGAACGCAGCCTGCAGGACTACGCTCACGGACCCGAGACTGTAAACGTGTGGGGATCTGCTAAAAAGTTACCTAATGCGCAAACCTCGCTCTAGGAGAAAAATGCCCGTTTTCACATTTCATTATCTCTGAAACCAGCAAACGAAATCCCATCTGTAGCGCGTCTCAAACACAGCCAGGTGCAGCCGATGCATAAGCGGAGGGAAAATGTCTCCAAAGGGAACACGCTTTGCTTCCTATGTGAGAAGGGCCACAGTGAGTCCTCCAGGAGCAACAACGTGAGCAGGAACCGACCTTTACTGACAGAACGCTGAGCACTGTTCCCAGTGCTTCACGGGCATGAATTCATTCAGGCAGGGTCACAAGCACCCATTCTCTATGCAAGAAAACTGAGACCCAGAGCGGTTAGGTCACTGGCCCTGGGTCACACAGCCACAAGAATGGCTGAGCTGGGATCCAAGCCGGGCTCCCGCACAGCCAGCCTGCACAACCAAACGCTTTCCAGCGCTGGCTGTGTGCGGAGAACAGGCACGGGGTGGACGTGAGGTACCAGCCGAGGAGGGGCTGGCCGCAGGGCTGTGGACATCCCTGGGGGCCAGGGCAGCCCCGCAGCCAGAACCAGCCTCCCAGGTAGAGACTGAGGGGCAGAGGCTAGTGATTGGATAACCGTAAGGGATCTGGACGACAGATCCCGAGCTGCAGCGAAGAACTGGTGCTTTCTTAAAAGCCTGCTAAAGCGGCTACCCCGTAAAAAGCACCACCACCTACCACACTGAAGTAGAAGACTGTGGGAGGAAAACCAGTGCAGTTTTTCCTTAAACGAGGACAAACTCCAACATCACGCTGGAGACTTGGGCTATGACTCAGACAGCACCAGCACTGGGTGGCCACGTAAGTGTAGACAGAAAGCCAAAAAGAAAAAAATAGAGCCCAGAGTCCTGAATGCATTAGCGTGAAAATAACGAGAGAGAATACAGACGCTGCTATGGGCAGAATGCTGGCGTTCCCCCAGAATTCATATGTTAAAGCCCTAACCGTGAGATGGTATTGGGGAGTGAGGCCTTTGGGGGTTCATTAGGTTTAGATGACGTTATGAAGGTGGGGTCCCCACGGTGGGGTTGGTGTCCTTATAAGAAGAGACATCAGAGAGCTAGCTTGCTTCTCTCTTTGCCACGTGAAGACACAGAAAGAAGGGTTCCGTCCACAAGCCAGGAAGAGAGCCCTCACCAGGAACAGAACCGGCCAGGACCCTGATCCTGGACTTCGAGCCTCCAGGACCGTGAGACACAAATGTCTGTAGTTTAGACCCCCAGTCTGTGGTATTTTGTTAGAGCAGCCCCACCTAATACAGACCAAGACCCTACTTCTGGATTTCTCAAAATGTATGCAATGGATACCATATAAACCAAGAAATGGAATCTCTATAGCTGTAAATGACCTCATGCCATATCCATCCACATAATATTTAGCAAATCTTGCTCAGTAAGAGGACTGGTGGAGAAAGGCCAAGATGGCGGGTTCCTCTGCTCCCAAGAGAAGGCTCCGGAGAACGAGTCCTCTGTGGCCAGGAGCAAAGCCTTGTCTCCTCCAACTCGAGTTCCTGGTCTGCAAAGTCACCCACCAGAAATACCTCATTCCATTTTTAACAAGCAAGATCAATAATGCCTCCTCAATTCCTCCAGCCAGACCCGTGAAGGGGCCCCCATTACTTGGCAACGGTGAATGCAAACAGAATGAGGTGGGGGAACACGTCACATTTTTCTTCCAAACTGGATGGAGAAAAACCCAATGAAGGAAAATTTATTTTCATTCTTTTGCTAACTATTGAATTTCTCCTCAAATCTTGACTCTTAAAAGCCACTGACAAAAATAATTAACCATGTCCACAATGAAACAAAATTGCTGGACGATGCAACATAACTGGGGGAAGAACCCCTAGCACCTACCTGTCCCCCTTCTGCACGCCCATGGGAACACAGTAATTCAGTTCCAGCCGGGCGATGTTGCCAAGCCTGAGGACGATGCCGGCACCGTAAGACCAGCGGATGCACTCGGCCAGCTTCCGGATATGAGCCTTGGGGCCCTCCCCTGCAGAGAGAGAAGAGGACGTGACCAACAGTGTAGAGCCCCTCACAGAGCTGTCCTCACACAAGCCCTGGTCCTCCTCCTTGCTGGGTGGCCTTCGGTGACATTTATAGCCAGGCCTGGATATTCAAAGAGAACGCATAAAGTGGGATTAGGACCGACATCAAAGGAGGGCTTGGGAGTAGACTTCCTACTCACTGCACCAGAAGCCATTCTCCGCGCCTGGCCCTTTCTGTCCCCTCTGCCCAGAAGGGCATTTCCCCCGCACCCGGCGACCCAGGAAGCCCGGCTCTACGCCTCAGGCTGAGGGGCTTGTCTTCTGTGAAGCGCTCCAGACACCTCTTCACGTCCCCCTGGCTGGATGCATCTGCCGTGAGTTTCCTCTGGCCCCGAGCCCCCTTGCAGGAGAGGCAAACCCAACTCAGCTCGGGGGTCATAATGACCAGCAGAGAGCAGGTGCCCCAGAAATGTTTGCTGAGTGAACGAATAAGTAGATCTTCACAAGACAGCATTCGATGACGCTTTTTCATGTGTGTTTCATTCAACAACTTTACTCTGAGCACCGCTATCAGGCGCTTGAGGAATTTTTTTAAAGTGAGGCCCAGTCGCTAAACATAAAGACTCTATAATCTAACCAAAAGGCAGCTACGGGGGTGCCGTGCTTTAAACACAAGGGCAACCGCGCCCTGACGGTCTCGAGGCAGCCCGGGCCTTACCGTAGTTGAGGTTGCAGAGGTTCCCCGCGTTGAGGAAGAAGTGTGTTCTGAAGAGCTCCCCAAAGCCACCCTGGCCTGGCCGGAAAGGCAGTGGGGTGTACACGTGCAGACCGCCGGCCCAGTACGCCTCTCCACCCAGGTAGTCGCCTAGTCAGGGGACAGGGGCAGAAGAAGACAGAGACACACGCATTCGGAATCACGTGGAAGTCTCTACAGGCGAGACACGGGCCACGTGCAGAACACCCAGCCCTCAGGCTCTGTGAGTGGTGGCCCGTCTAACTCCCGGTGTTGGCCTCACTTTGAAGTCTTTCTTTTTCGCCTGGCTTATAAGCTTTAACTGGGGGAAAAAAATGCTAGTGTAGTTTAGAAAAGAATGAAATCAGAAATTTATCAAACCATACAACGGCTGGAATAAAACAACTGAACTCATGGGCGTCGCCTTGTCTACGATTGCAGATGACCAGATCGCGGCTGCCTGGCAGGTCAGACGGCTTCCTCGGCAACAACTTTGAGGCCACGAGACAGGAGACGGAATGCAGAATGGGCCTTTGCCGTTTCTGGAAGGGCTGCGCATGCTATTAATCAAAAGACACACGGCGTCTACTGCCCGCCGGGGAAGGAAGCGGCGTCCCAGCTCGACATGTCCAGGGAAGAGACTCGGTTTTGAAAGTTCATGGCCACTTAGGGTTTATCTGTTTTTGCCCAAGGTTATTTTTTGCCAAAATTCAAGACTATCTGCTGAGAGTACATAAATGCATTATTTCTAAAAAATGCTCCTATCCGTTCCATTTTAACTACAAATAGCTATAACATTAAAGCAACATGAAAACGAATAAAAATAGCCCTGAATGTTTATACTTTGTTGCAAAATACCATTTATAAAGTGTCTTAGTATTCCTTAATACAAAATGATGGATCATAACAAAAGTGAGTTGTCTCCAAGATTAACCTCAAGGAATAACCTGCTTGTCCACCTCAAGACCAGCCATCTCATCAATCTCTGCTTTAGTAGCAAAGTTCTAGAGGGAACAGAAATGGACAAGTAACAGGAGGTCAGCTGTGTTTGCTTTTCATTTCCCAGTAATTACACACCTCTTAAATAACCTTATTAAATAAAATAATTATTTTACTCTGGTCACAAAAGTAATACATTCATTGTAGAAAATCTGATAAGTAAAGGGAAGTAGAAAAAAGGGAAAATATCCTTTAATTTTTCCTATTCAGAGATAATCAGCTAACATCCTGGTGCCTTTCATCCAGTGAACTGTGATGAATAATTGAGAAAAAAACAATTGAGTCATCGCATACATATATACATAGATATATACCTCAGTCCTGTTTAAAAAAGCTGGCTTAATAGTTTAATATGTCTTAAGCACTTTCATCTAATACTTTCTATTGTTTGGAAATGTGATTTAAGTTTTTTTCAAAGATTTTATTCATTTATTTGTCAGAGAGAGAGAGCACAAGCAGGGGGAGCTGCAGGCAGAGGGAGAAGCAGACTCCTCACTGAGCAAGGAGCCTGACGTGGGGCTCGATCCCAGGACCCCAGGATCATGACCTGAGCCGAAGGCCGATGCTTCACCGACTGAGCCACCCAGGCGCCCCTGGAAATGTGATTTAGATGCCTGAATGATCAAATGGGTACCACACTTACCTAATCCTGTCTACTGTCATGCTGGTGTCTAATTTCTTGTGATGGACATTAGTCAGTCATGAGTCTCCTTAAACACACAAATATTTAAAACCTTGTCTTGCAGTATAATCTACGTACAGAAAAGTATACACACGTCCTAAGTACACTGCTCAGTATATTTCCCTACAGGGAACACACACCTGTATGACAAGCACCCAGACTGAGACTCTGGCATGTGCAGCCCCCCAAAGACTCTGCTCTCCTTGCTAACCACGCCCCTGCTGGCCAACAGCACAAATCGTTCTAGCCCGTCTCAAAACGTTACATGGACAGAGCCACACTTGACACCTCCTCTGGGTCTGGCCTTGCTGTTGCTGGTCCTGCATGTTTCTGAGGCTCGTTCATGCCATATTCAGCCAGCGGCTCTAACTCGCTCACCCTGCTCTACAGAACAGTCCACAGTGTGAAGATACAACTACTTATTTGCCCATTCTATGTTGATGGGCATTTGGGTTTCTAGGTTTCAGTTTGGAGCTATTATTATTAGTGCTCAATATTTTAGGCTCCTGATATACACTGTTAAATCGCTTTCACTAAAAGTGATGCAATTTACATTCCTGCCCATAGTATCTTACTGATGGCCTATCTAATAGGGTACTAACTGGAACATCATTGTGTTTTAATTTTCAGGCACATGATAGACTCCTAAACTTCCATACAGTCACTATATAATACTTCCTTACAAGGAAAAAAGAATAAATAAACTATCCCTAATATGTTACTTCTCTTTAAAAAAATGACATACTAATAAAGTACTCTAAAAACAAGTGACAAGAAATATGTATTATGTAAAAAATTTATGCACAGGGTAGTCATTATCTAGAGTAATAAAAAATGGAGACAACAGAGATGTTAAAAGAACAGAAAATCAGGATAGAATATTTTATAATGGAATGGTGTGGAAACATTTAAATGATGTTTTTGAAGATTTTAGAAACATGTGGAAATGCCTTGGATAGAATGTCAAGTGTCAGAGAGTGATCCAGGAAACAGGAATGATTGAAACTGGCTTTCCAGAGAGCAACATAAAGCTTCAAAATGTTCAAAATCCTTTGATCTAGGGATTCTACATCTAGAACGTTACACTATAAAGTAAAATTTAGAGATGAGCACAGAGACTCAATAGGTTATTCACAGATATACTGTTTTCTAATCATAAGAAAAAAGAAAGCCTAGATGTCTGACACTTGGCATGTGGTTTAAAGAGATGCCACTTCGGCAACAAGATGAAATATGCAGCCGTGGAAAACGACAGCGTTTCCCTCTCCGATCCACCACCGGCAGGGATGCACAACGGTACGGCCAGTTTGGAAGACGGCCTGGCACTCCCCTACAAAGATTATACAACTTTATCATACGATCCAGCAACTGCTCTAATTGCTGATTCCCCAAATGACTTGAAACTTTACGTCCAAACAAAAACCTGCACGTGAATGTTTATATCGGCTTTACTCATGACTGCCAAAAATTGGATGTCCGCAACCGAGACGTCCTTCCCTAGGAGGTGTATGGATAAGCAGACAGCAGCGCCAGTCACATGATGGAATATCGTTCAGCGATATAGAAACATGAGCCATCGTGCTGACACGTAAGGAGGAACCTTACATCCGTGTTGCTCAGAGGCCAGGCTGAAAGGGGCACATGCTGTAGGGTTCCGACTGTGTGATACTCTGGAAAGGGCAGGACCAGGGAGAGAGGACGCGGCGCGGGGTTGTCAGGCAGAGCTCGGGGGAGGGAGGGAGGCAGAGCGCAGGGAGTCTGGAGGGCGCTGGAACGGTAGGTCCGGGCCACATGCATATGCCAGACCCCACGGCACCGCAGAGCACAGAGGGAGCCCGCGCATGAACTGCGGGATACGGTTTGTAATAACGCCCCAATACTGGCTCACAACTGCAATCAGCGCACCTCGCTAACGCCGATCGACGACAACACTAGGGCAGCGTCCACGGAAACTCGGGTGCTCGCGGCCCAACTTTTCTGTACACCTAAAACTGCTCTCACAACCAATCTACTAATTTAGCCAAGTTATAGTAGGTCAAGAAGATGAAATAAACTGTCGTTAAAAATGATCAAGCACTCATTCCTAGAAAAATCTTCTTCGCTTGCGTTACTGAGGGCAGTGGGAGAAGCAGGTGAGGACACAGTAGGTAAACATACCAAATGCGAGCACGGAGGCGTGCTTGCTTAAACAACAAGCGCGCCCACATATTGTCGCTGGGCAGTGAGATCACAGGTCGGTGCCCAGCATTTTTTGCTTAGATACATTTGCTCATTTTTCTACAGTTCCCTCAACAGGTATCTATCTGTCCGCACCTGCTGTGTGATAAATGCTGTGTTAGGTGCTAATTCTGGGGTGGTGAAATACGAACACCTATTATTGTGGTAATTGAAACAAGCATAGTTACCCTTGAACAGGACGCTGTGAACCAGGCAAGCCCACTTACACGCCAATTTTCCATCAGTACGGTTCTGTAAACGTGTTTTCTCCTTATGATTTTTTTAAGAACACATTCTTTTCTCCAGCTCACCTCATCGTAAGAATACAGTAGGATACATACAACCTACAAAATCGGTGTTAAACTGTTTATGTTACTGATGAGGCTTCTGGTAGGTGCCCCTAACCTCCTCCCCACTCCGCGGTTCAAGGGTCTAGTGTACATGCTTTCACAAATGAGATGTGACCCTAATCTTATCATGGCGGTCTTACAGGGAAAGCCTCACCTTCACTCTGCGGCCCAACGCTGTGCATGCTGAACCCACGCACACTGGTTGGTCCTCCGAGGTAAAACCTACAACAGAGAATGGCAGATGTCAGAAGAAAACCACCAGGTGGAAACCTACAAAGTACAGTGAAAGTGCAGAAAACATACAAGTGAGGCTCACGTTCGGTACTGGATTGTCGCCGACATTGTCCCACGGCAAAACTTTTAAGGATCGGGAGGATGCACTGGAGTACGGTGACTTTCATAAAAATCTAAACCAAAATCTAAACACTTCAAACTTCTGGAGATGTAAGTGAGATAAAAGGCACAACTAAAGACCCTTCTTTAGAAAAGAAGGACATGGGGACTGTCCATTATAAAGGAATTATCTGCTGTCCGTAAGAATTCATTATGTAACAGCTCTGTTGCAAAACGGCCTCCTATGTGTTCACATGCAATGTTAAGTTAAAAAAAAGGCAAGATAAAAATTATGTAACAGTATGATCCCAATTTTACAAAAAGAGGAAAATAATACTAGAAAAAACCAGACCAAAATAGAATTATTGTTATTCTGAGTTTTTTAAATATTTTCCACAGTGATTGTATAATTAGAAAAAAAATTATTACAATTAAAAAAATGAATTCCTCGGGCGCCTGGGTGGCTCAGTTGGTTAAGCGACTGCCTTCGGCTCAGGTCATGATCCTGGAGTCCCGGGATCGAGTCCCACATCGGGCTC